GCTGCCGTGGTGGCCTTGAGCAAGTCCACCGGACATCCCCCCGCCAACAGGCCCGTTAAATCCCCATTGCCTCCCTCTGGGCGCTCGTCAATACTGCCCACTGCCCTCCTAGGTCACTAGGATGGTTAAAAGCAGAGAACAAATCCGAACGGCGTGTGCTATGTGTATCTGATGTGTTGACCATTAAAGAGGGTTTCATCCCGATTGCCAATTCTACTAGTTATTGAAGCGAAAAAGCGCACAAGACTGTTTGCCTGTTAAGTGGAAAATAAACCCGTCACATTTTATTGTGGCATGTGCATATGTTAAGCTGTTTTGCATATTTTATGAGAAACTATATTGTAGAGATGCACCATTGTGACGATTCTCAGTTGATAACCAATGTGGGTTTAAGTTAACAATTTTGACTGATGCTGGTGTTTTGTGTTATTTTATTTCTAACAACTATATAGTTTTTTAAATAAAAAAGAAATATACAGCGGTTTTTCATTTATCACACTTTAAATTCTGGTTAAGCAGTCACAATACCTATAAAGCACCTTTTAACAAAGTATTTCTAGTTTTCTACTATCAAGTTACCGTACTTTAGGAAAAATATTGTAGTCACGAACCGTGGGAAGCTGGTTCCGCCATTGGACTCGTTGTCTGTTCATAATCCATTTATGCACTCCGTCATTTTGATAACCCCCACAGTACTCTTCTTGTCCTTCAATAGGCTTTCATAACAACAGCATAGTGGTAAGGTTTTTTTCACAAAATAATGCACATTTAAGTGCCCCGTCTTCATTTCAGTACACCATATCCGAACGAACTGGATAGAAAAGTGTGTGGCGGTATTAACGAAAATAGTATTGCTGACATCGAGTCAGAGAGCAAGAGGTGGTGGACATAAGGTGGCCCTGGTATAACATGGCACCATCCGTGACGACTGTCACCACATAAAGACAACACGGTTAGACTAAACTACGTGCCAGTATCTGAATGATGCAGCCAACAGATTTTGATACAATGGGGATTATTTCTTCATGCGAACTGGCTAGTAACACAGTTAGAGTTATGCTCTTGGGCTTGTACTTAGGAGTCCAGGATATTGGACGATATCAGAGCATCAACAGCCACGGAAAAGGCAAGTATATCTTATAAAAACCTTTTAACCAAGAACGTAAACAAATGACCACTGGCCCGCATAACCTAAAGTACCACATACATTTGGAGGCAGGGCATGGGATTACCAGCTGGCGCCGTAAGGGGTGGAAAAAGCCAGACGATCAAAGCGGCCGTGACTGGGACAGGGCCAAACAACCTGGTAGAACATTAACCGAGAAAAAATTATGTAAGTAACCAATGTGGACTATGCTTTTCATGGGGCCCAAAATCCCTGGCGGTGCCCCTGGATATAACATATACTGTGAGAGTTGTATAGCAGAACTTTCTCTCTGTATTTTGCATTTGTGTACCTGAAGGTTCATGATTTGTTTCAGTGTGGGTCCAGTAAGAACAATGATGTCAAGAGGCGAACGTTTGCGAAATGATATTATCTCAGTGAAACACATGTAAAGAAAAGGTATAGATTTGTCAGAGTGGGATGAAAATGTACGCATGTTGTTAATTATTTTTAAAAATATTTGAATATGTTGGAGTTTAAATGTATGTTGGACATGCTGTGGCTGATAGCTGAACAGGCAGTGGATCCATATCTTGTTTGAAGAGTATTCTGGTTTCACTGAAGTCCGAGCCAATAGATTACACAATATTTATACAAAGGACATGCTAACCAAGTGTCTGTCAATACATCAAGAGAAGTTATATAAACTCTGGATTTCCCTCTCAAAGTCACCCTGCTACCTGCTGCAAGTGCAACCTCAACTGATCATCAAGGTAAGGCTCTCATACTTTTCTATCATTATGGCTTCATCTGTTTTGATCGATACCTACAGAAAGAGATATCATATGTTCATTATTACGTTTAGTTTTCACTTGTGAAAAAGTGAAATCACCTTTTCATGTCTGGTGCTTTACAATGTCTTGTTTCAGTAAAACCTCCAAACTTTTGTGCATATTACTTTATTTTCTTCTCTATTTCTGAATTATTATTATTTATTTTTTATTTTGTAATTGAGGTACACATTAAGACATTAAATATATTTTTAAATGATGCATTAACTTATTAATATACTGCTTCTTTACACAGATGGCTTCATGTCTTCATTTCATTGTGGTCCTCTGTTTGACCAGTGGACTGTGGAGTGGAGCAAATGTAAGTTTTACGCACACTAATACATTTATATACCAAGATCTGTAGGGTTATAATAAGGTATTGAATAACACACAATAACAATACAATGAAGTTCCTATTAATCCATTGATAATGATGTTTTCTTTGTGTTCACAGGCACAGAAAGAAGGTTGGTAATTATAAAGTGACTTGAACTTTCTACCTGCTGCTCTAACAATTAATTATTTTCCAAAATGAAGGTTTTTGTTAAATTGTTAAATTGTTGAGCTGCTGGTGAGGAATAGTAACACAAAGAGGGGATTTCCTTATCATCTTTAGAAAAGCCGTGCCATGTCCCATGTAAGACCTGCCCTTCTGGATGGACTCCGTTTGAAGATCACTGTTACATGTACAAGCATGCTGCTAAGACCTGGGCTGATGCAGAGGTACATCGAGGAACAATATGAGTTATAACTGAGCAACACGTTTATAGAGTTCTCACTTCTATTTCCTCATTTAACTCTCGCTTTTCTGTGCTTTAATAATATTATATATTCAGTTTTTTAATTGGTAATCTTTTTGATGATATTCTAACAGGTGGGATTTGGACTACATGTCAAATATATTTGTATTTCTGATTGGATTGAATTGACTTGTTTTAGTAGGGTGTGTGGATGTGGAGTGATGGTAGCAAGTTTGACTTCAAGGGATGGCCCGTTGGCGAGCCCAACAACTCTGGAAAGGGAGAACATTGCATGCAATTGCATTTGAAAGGTATTCACTGATTATGTTATTATCTGAAAATAATTGCCCGATTAATCGATAGCAGGTCTAATTGTTTGTTTGTTAATTTTCAGAAAAAGATTTTCCCAACGACACAAAGTGCACTCAGGAGATGCCTTTTGTTTGTCGCATGCGCCTGTGATGATCCACGTCAGGTGATGTCAAGTCTACCAGGGTATCAGGCCTCGATGATATCACTGCGAGAAGACCTATCGACATTTTTGATTTCATTTTTGCTGATGAAATAAACGGATACATCCTGTCAGCAATCTGTCTCATTTGTTTTATAAAATCTCAATATTTTGATGTTAAACATAAAAAGAATTCTCCTCCTCTATTCAACAAATACATTTTGATTCTGTACATTTAGTTTATATCTGCATATACTTTATTTTTTAACTTTTTTTGTCATTACACAGTAGGCCTACTTACTATGTAACAAAATGGTTTCTCTGCATTTGACCCATCGTGTTAGGAGCAGTGTTACTATATACAATTATAACATTTCATAACATCATATTTTTCAATTATTTTGCATTTTGTGTGTGTCGGAGAGAAACTCCTTCTGGAACGAACTTTGGGATTTTAGCCTTTGCAGACCATTTACATGCTCACAAACCTATTTAACACAAAAGGGAACCCCCCTAAAAGCATAATATGGCCCCTTTGAAGACAAAAACTGTCCATCATTAGTCCGACAGTGTGACCACTTCCTTCTGATTACTTATTATTTTGTGTATTGATATAACTCTTTAGTCATGCAGAGAAAGAAAGTGCAGGTTGTTTCCGCTCCCAAGACACCCAGCCACTTCCTGATCCTTCTGACTGTCTAACAAGGTATTGTGATAATTCAAGACATTGTTCTCCACATTCGTACTAAGTCCGAGCTCTGGGTACACACTTATTTCCTTTTCTCTTGTCATATAAGTGTAATTAAAAGATGTTTGTGTTAAATCTGATATGATATAGTCAGCACCATAGTGACACTCAAGAACAGCCTCTTCAGTAAAAGTTGTAACTGTCATCTCTGATCTAACTACCTGTGAGTGAGTAAAGTTATTCTGTTTAATTTGATACTTCCCGATTGAAAATGGGGAAAGGATCATGAAAAGAAAATGTGCCACCGCATGTCAAAAATATCAGAAAAAGTCATTGTACAGTATGTAAAAAAAAAAAGACAGGCTACTATAGTATTTCAAAAATATAAAGAATCATGAGAAAATAGTTATAGTTGGTCAGAAAAATACAAGAAAAGTCACAGTGTGCTATGTCCGAAAAGTATGTGATACAACAAATGTATAGCAGGGTATATGCAGGAATCCTGAAGTCAAATGTTTGTAATGGACCTTTAAGACATTTTTTAAGACCCTTTATACATTTTAAGACCTCATCGCCACTTTGAGTTTTAACCGGTTACATTGGCGACACACTTTACCTCACATTTACTATAGACAGTATTGATCGTCCTTCCTCCTTATCTTCCAACCATTTGGACGCAAACTTGCATTTCCCCATAACGATGTTGTTTAACAACCGGCGTAAACGGACCTTCACCGACCTTCACGCGCTATCGAGCAGTGAGCGTGCGATGTCCTGTTCAGATGACGTCAGATCCAACGGGATGCCATAAATAAACTACACAGAATCACACTACACACCTACTCAATGATTACATTCAGGCAGACTGTAGAATACAACCGCTTTGGACAATTGATATACTTATTGAAAACAAGCTACAAAATGTAATACCTTAGAAAATGCCGTTTCATACTTTTTAATAGCCTTAATTTTCGCTAAATTGATTTATCAACTTTTAATGCTTTTTAAGACCCCGCGGGCACCCTGTATAGCCTAAGTATAGCATCACTGTAACAAAGTCACAGTAGTCGTTATATAGTATAAAGTGCAATAAATATAATAAAAACAGAGTGCAGCTTTGAATAAATAAAACAACACCTTCATTCCACAGATGGTTTATTGGGTCCACAGCAGCAGCACGACATTCATTGATATTCACTACAAATCATCAAAATAAATTAACAAACAAATTCAATTCACATTGAGCGTATTTCAGTGCACATCAGTTGTGGAAAGCTTGACTTTAAATAAATATAATGTTCATGTTAATTGTGTTTTAAAAATGATATAAGTAACTTAAGTTCATGATTGGATAAGACAACCATGAATATTACTCACAAACAACTGGAAATGTCTTCCTTTTAATGCTGTAACTGAAGAAGTCCATTCCATGTTTTGCATTTCCTTACCTCAGAGATTATCTGAATGGTCCCTTTGCTCTTTGAATACTGGAGTTAAAGATGCAATGGATGTCATTTATCTATCATCCATACAGAACGTGTAATCCTTCATTTCACTTACAAACAGACACAAGCACAATTGTAAACACACACACACACACACACACACATTTCACCAATAAATAGCATTTCATAATTTATTTTTGCCCCTGTATCTACAATTTTAATCCCTTTAGTGGATATTTACCCACTGAAAACGATTAGCCCAGTTTGTGTCCCTTAAGGTTCACATTACTTGGATAAAATAATACACCCATTA